AAAAAAAAAAAAGAAAAAGAATATTCAACTGCCAACACCACGAAATAAATTGCATTGATGCTTTTACACCAAAAGCCCAAGAAGAAAGTCCTATGAGTCACTCCAACTCCTTGGAGAGAACAGTGGAACCTGAACAGGTTATCTAACTGTAGAAATGAAGTGATGGCTGGGTGCAGGGATTTCTACTGACAGCAACTTTAATCTTTTGGAAGGACCTTGCTCTCTTAAACTATGCTGGAAACAGGTGTATGGAAAACTGCCAGCCTCAGCCTGAGAGCTTTTCTCTCCAAGTTATTTTTGCAAAGAACACTTGCAAAATACTTGAAAATTACCTTCCATTGCCATCAAGTCAGATGAGCTTTAATTATTTTTTTCTTAAAAAGAAGTAACAGTGGCTCGCACCCATAGCACAGTGGTTATGGTGCCAGCCACATATACTGAGGCTGGTGGGTTCAAACCCGGCCTGGGCCAGCTAAACAACAATAACAACCACAACAAAAAATAGCTGGGTGCCTGTAGTCCGAGCTACTTGGGAGGCTGAGGCAAGAGAATCGCTTAAGCCCAAGAGTTTGAGGTTGTTGTGAGCTGTGATGCCACCATACTCGACTGAGGGTGACAAAGTGAGACTGTCTCAAAAAAAAAAAAAAAAGTAACAGTTCATGGAGAAGTAGGATTCTGAGCCCACTATACACCTGTCTGAAAAGCACCCTTCTCTAACATCTTATGTGTGATAAGCATCATAAACACAAGGAAAAACACTTAAGAGTTCTCAGAATATCAGAAAACTCATTTGAGGCCGGGTGTGGTGGCTCACGCCTGTAATTTCAGCATTCTGGGAGGCTGAAGCAAATGTATTGCTTGAGCTCACAAGTTTGAAACCAGCCTGAGCAAGAGTGAGACTCTGTCTCTTGCAGCCCAGCAACTCAGGAGGCTGAGACAAAAGGATCACTCAAATCCAAGAGTTGGAGGTTGCTATGAGCTATAATGACCCCATGACACTCTACCCAGGGCAACAGATGAAACTCAGTCTCAAAAAAAGAAAAAAACGAAACAAATTTCACAGTGCTTGGCACAACTGGCTCTGTCTGAGAGGATGAACTGGAGCTAAGAGAGGGAAGTGGCCACCTACACTACACTATAAAGACTGGCAGAGCTGAAGCCCCTCACACAGGCACACTGGTGGGCTTGGACCTTCATGTAGAGGTGGCGGTGAGGGCTGGTGGTTGTGGGGTATTGAGTGCTGCTGAGTCTTGCTACAGCGCCCAGACAGACAGAAGGGAAGTTCCTGCAAATACCACACCTTCTCTCCCCAGTCTTCTTAGATGTCCTACCTGGGGCAAGTGGGGTGTATAAGAGGAAAAATAAAGAAACCAAGTTCTTCTCCCACCCAGCAAGCTGAAACAATTCATACTGTCCAAGACAGAATAATAATTTACTAACAAATTTTCTTTAATTTGAACAGTATTCAAGGAAATAAACTGATGAAATAGCCTGGCCATTTGGCTAACCATTTCTACAAATTCCACATATCTGTCACTCAGATGAGCATATACCATGTCAAAGAAAACAAGACATGTGCACACACAAAAGTGTAAAGAAAATTAAAACACTCTTTTATGCCTATCAGAAGTTCACACAGCAAGAACTTTTTAATAGTATCAAGCAATTGAACACTGGAATGTTTTTTCTTCAAGGTCATGAAAAAGTGAATTTCCAGAATATTTTATAAACCTAAAATAATACAGTATCACTGGCTTTTGTTCTAGTATTTATCAAACGCGCACCTGAGTTTTTAGAAAGTGAAAGTTCTTGAGAATTTACCTTCTCCAAATGGATGGGGCCTGAGAATCATGTGACTTTCCTAACTGAGTAGAGAAAGGCTCACTCAGTCAAGGGGGAGGGTCCCCATGATGCACACAGACTGGCCAGCAGGGGCTCCCCTGGGCAGGAGCCCCTCAAAGCTCCTGGGCTGCTTCACTCAAGCTCTTGCTCCCCGTTTCCAGACTTGCAGTGGACAGAACCCCGCTTTCTAAGGAAAGAAGAAGATACTGTGTCACACGCTAACAATTAAAGATTCTAATACTAGAAGAATACTAGAAGTCCTAGGAACAAAAGACTTCAGCAGACCCTTCAGACACCCGGCAGTCAGTGCCCTGGAAACGCACATTCTGCTAAGGGGTTGTGGGGACCTACGCTCAGAGCTGTGGATACCAGCTTAGTCTGGCTGCTCTGAGCAATAGCCACGGCCCCCAACTCTCTAGAACAGTGATTCTCAACCTGTGGAACACAAGCCACAGGAACTGTATTAAAGGGTCGCGGCATTAGGAAGGTTGAGAACCACTGCTCTAGAACATCACACTCAGTACCTTCTCATTGTCCCCATCAGCCTGGACCCTGTCTGTCAGGGGCTTCCATGGGCACTTGCCCACCCTTTGAGGTTCCTAGCTATGCTCCGAACCCCAATGGTATTGGGGTCTCTGCATAGAGTCAAGCCTCTCCCCAGGTGACAGGCCACTAAGGCCCTGACATTTGTGTCTAGAAGGGCACAGAGGAAGGAGCCGCTTCCTCCTCCTCCTGACCCAGGAAGGCAGCCTGGGGACCTCCTTGCTCTGAGCAAAGCTGCATACGGAGGGAGGCATGCCACAAAGCCTCACCTGGCTTGTTTACGCGACACACCTCTTCCCACGTGTAGTCTGCAAGGTTCACAGGCTGTGTCACCCACGGATCTATCACCAGCTTCTCCAGGGTGGTGCGCTGCTCAGGGGCTGGCTGCAGCAGGCCAGACACCAGGCTCATGAGCTCTGGGGACACAGAGTAGGCTGGTGTCAAGTGGAGCACATCTCAACACTGCAAGTTCCTGGAAGCCCACCCCCCAGAGCCTCTGTCTGAGTGGGAGATGGCTCAGGAACCCTGGGGACTCTCCTCAGCACATGGCCCAGCTGAGTGTGAAGAAAAGCTGTGGGGGATGTTCATCACCTCTGAAGTGAAAGCCTGGAGGTCATCTCACTCAACCAAGGCCCAGATGGTTTGAATATTGGGAAGGTCAGGTCTGTTCTAAGGGCTCTGGCTGTGCAGAGCCAAGAACAGCTCAGGTTTAACAATCCCCTACTGCCCCATGGAAATCTGAGAGAAGCCCCCTCCCGGGTCTGGGTGTGAATCCTGTTCCCTCTAACAAGCCAGGTGTCGACTCAATGAGAGCCAGGCTGAGTCTACTGTTCCAGGGACACGCCCAGGGAGCCTGGCAAGAGCCCAAGAAACAGTCTATGGGTATAACAGCACGCCACAGGAGCCATGCCATTACAGGAACCCAGGACTTGAGAAAAGCTCTAAAAACTCTCTTCTAGGCTACTGTGGATGGAATCATGCCCTCCCACAAGTCCTGTGTTGAAGCCTTGATCCCCTGTGTGACGATGTTAGGAGCTACAACCTTCAGGAGGTAGTTATGGTTAGAAGAGGTCACAAGGATGGGCCAGATGGGACTAATGTCCTTCCCAGAGGAGGACAAGACCAGAGAGGCACTCATACACTCACCCTGCCATGTGAGGGTACAGCTAGAAGGCAGCCCCTCCAGAACTGGTAGAGACACACATCTGTGGCCTAAGCCACAGTTTCTAGAGTACTCTGTTACCGTGTCGAAATTACAAGACAGAGACTTCTAACCTAAGCAGAGTCCACAGTGCAAACTTTATGTGTGAAGACATTCATAACCTCACTACATACAACAATTAATGACTGTTAGGGAATCACAGACAGTCCAACGGCCCTGCTGAAAAGAAATACACGTTCCCACCACACAGAAAACACAAACTGTAAGAGAAAAGATGAAACAAATCCCAAAAGACAGTCTCTGGGCAGCAGAGCTATTGCATTTATTGAGGCCAAGGCCACTGGTGCAACCCACTTTAGAGCCGCTTAAACTATCACTCCCATTAGCTAGTTGTGACACCAGTACCTCTGCCTGGATCAGTCGCATCACCACCACACACCACAGTGGGTAGACAGCACGGGTCAGAGCTGTGCGCCTGGCCCTGCCCCTGCACAGCTGGCCATCGACGTGCACCCCACCTGTCACTGGCCTAAAGCAAGGTAACACCGAGCAGATGGTCACAGTTTTACCCTCCCAAGAACTCTTGTGCTGCCCAGCAGTTGAGTGTCCAGAGAATTGAAGGCTGGGGAATAGTGAGCTCCTGTGCAAGGTGTACGTGCCCTGTGTGTATAGCTGCTAGTGAACTCATCCGACTTGCCAAGATGGAACTGTGTGAGTCATCCTTTTGTCCTTCAGCTCCACCTCAGATTGGGAAGTAGTTTGTCCGTACTATCCCAGCATTCCCACTGATGTCTCACTGCCCATCACCCTGGAGCAGCCCTAGGGCTCCTGCTTTGCTTACTCTAGACTTGCAAGGCCTTCCTTCCTCTGAGCCCTCATCTGCCACCCCTGCTGGTCCTTGCTCTAGATGCAAACAGTGTTGTGTCCTGGGGTGAGCCCAGCCAGAGGCCCTCAGCCCTCTTGTGGGAAGCTCTTGATATGACAGAAGGTTCTGTGTGAGCTGCTGGGAGGTCATGCCCTTGGTGCACACTTTGACAGCTACCAACAAACCACAAGTCTGTTTCTTACAAGAGGGTTTCTGAGATCCACAGGGGAACACTAATAAAAGTTACATTATCAAAATATTTTTAAAGTCACATTCAAATTATTCTGATGTTGAGATTAGTAGTGTATCAGATGAATAGAAAACAAAGCTAGATGAGGGCACCAAGGACACAGGTGGGAGCAGTGCCCGCCCTGCCTGTGGCATGCTCACCTGCAGACACTAGGTATGGTGGATGTATGGCAGCCTCCACAGTCTCCTCCAGCTCGCAGAAGGGGTTCTCCTCAAAGATCAGGGTGTACAGCGTGACTCCCAGAGACCACATTTCGAGCTCTGGTCCTCGGTAACTGACAAAGGAAAGAAAGGTAGGGTACCACACTGCTGCACACGGCACCTGCCCAGCTGGCCCGGGTTTCCAGGTGACCAGCCATGCTCCTCAACCATGCGCCCCACTTCTTTGGTTGTTTTTTTTTTTTTTTTGAGACAGAGTCTCACTTTGTCACCCTCAGTAGAGTGCCATGGTGTCATAGCTCACAGCAACCTTAAACTCCTGGGCTTAAGTGATTCTCTTGCCTCAGCCTCCCAAGTAGCTGGGACTACAGGTGCCTGCCACAGCGCCTGGCTATTTTTAGAGACAAGGTCTCACGCAATCTACCCACGTTGGCCTCCCAAGAGCTGGGATTACAGGTGTGAGGCACTGCGCCCAACCTTATACGTCCCACTCTGCATGTCCACCCTGTGCAGGGAGGAGCGAGGCCCTCCAGAGCACAATCAGGAAACTTGGTACCAACCACGACAAGGAAATGCAACACGCAGTTCTGGGAGCATAGCCAATGTCTGCTGGAGGCCAAGGGTGTCCTGAAGGGAGCAGAGCACCAGCCATATGGCCTTGCTGACAGCGTGTGAGCCACACAGCCCTAGGATAGGGCTTCTGCCCTGCAGAAAGGTCACTGGACAGCAATAGGAAGGGTGCTCAAGGCTGAGACCAGAAGAGCTGAGAAAGGCTCTAGGAAGCCAATGGGACAGCAGGATGAGAGGAAGGTGAACCGCAGGAGGAGGGCTTTCTGGCAGTGGCCAGCCTGGGAGCAAGTTTTAGGGGAAAATGTGGGCACTGCTGCTTGTCACTCAAGTGGGGAGCAAGCTCTGGGAGAAGACGCAGGCATGGCTGGTGCTGGTTACTGTGAGCACCTCACTGTGAGCTGGGCCCCGGCAGCTGCCGATGCTGTGCCCGGCTCTCACATGGCTTAACCCTGATCCTCACAGCAGTCTGGCAGGATAATACTACCTGTGTCTTACACAGAAGAACAGACCCAGTAGGCACCAGGCCAACTGCACCCCCCACCCCCCGACCCAGTGCTACCCATGGCCATGAGTCTCCTGGCTGGGGAGCAGGGCAGCCTGGCCCAAGAGTACCCCCAAGAATCAGCAACTTCTCACCATGGGCTAAGAGAAACTTCAGTAGTGAGAAGAGGGCCCAGGATGGATCCCTCAATCATCTTGGGAATACCATGGCAGAAAACCAGGCCAGAGATAGAAGGCAGGCTCAGAGGAGGGGACGGGAGGGGAGGAAGGAATAAGAATTGGGGCCTGACCTCAGCACAGACAGGAGTCAGGCCACATCCAGGGGGCTGAGTGGGGCAGGGTTGCCAGCACAAGGCTTCAGGGAAACAAAGGGGGCACAGGCGGCATGAGCTGGAGCAAGGGAATCAGATGTGGCAATTTTTGTCTTTATGTTGTTTGCTTTTTAGGGAAAGAGTTCAAGAATTTTAGAAGATAGAGTAAAATGGATCAGCAAGCTTCTCCCCTAAGTGCACAGACAGTGAATATCTCAGGCCTGTGCCCATGTGGTCTCTGGCAGCAACAGCTCAGGAGGACGACACCTAAACTGCAGCACAGCGGACCCCAAAAGACCTCAGTCTCACAAGGCGGCAAGAGGCCCACACACCCCACATGCATGGCAGCCTTGCTCACCACAGCTAAAAGTAGAAGCCACACAAGCAACCCATCTTCCAACAAGTGGACATCCAGGGCACATGCAAAAGGGTGTTACGCAAGCTGAGAAAGGGGACTCCTGACACCTGCTACAGCACAGGAGAACCTGGAGGATGTCTTGCCAGGTGAAATGAGCCAGTCACAGGACAGACCCTGTGTGATCCCTCTCATGTGAGGCCCTAGAGGAGTCAGACTTGCAGAGACAAAGACAGGATGGAGAGCGCTGGGGCCTGGGCAGGGACTGAGGGCAGTGTTTAGGGGGGACAGAGTATCCATTTGGGAAGATGAAAGAATCCTGGAGCGGACAGTGGCGATGGCCGCATAACAGCCTGACCATCCCTGATGCTGCTGACCACATTTAAACAGTTAAGGGGGTAAATTTTATGTCATATGCATTTTGCCACAATAAAAAAAATTTTTTTAAAAAACAAGAGGTGGGACGAATTTAAACAAGGTCCATGCTCTTCCATGCCCTGCCACTGGCAAGCAGCACAGGTATGTCCCACACATGGGCCAGGCCAGGAAGCTCAGCATGCCTTGTGGAGAGGCTGGCACAGCACTTCCTGGGTCTGAGGTGACACGTGACCTCACAGACTGTGGCCCCAGTCCCGGTCCCTTTATCTCCTCTGCACAGACCATGTGGAGTGGTCGTAGCCAGCACAGCAAAGTGCAGCGGCAAGGGGCCATGTAGTGCTGTGACTCCTGACTCTGACACCAACATAGGGGCACTGCTCTGGGTACATGCAGGGGCAGGTGGAAATGCTGTGGGTATTTCACATGCATGAAGACACTGGGCTTCTATGCAATCAGACGGCCACGTGGCTGTGCATGGCAGAAAGTGCTGTCAGCAGACGTTTCCTCTCAGGCCCACAGACACTCCTCTCTTGAGTCCCCAGAGATGAGGTCTTCACCAGGCCAGCCCCTATAGCTCCTAGGCTCACTGACTACAAAGGTGCAAGCCCAGCCACACCCCCAGACACTGCTTCTCCCCCAGCAGGGCCACAGGGCTGGCTGCCCAGTAGCATTGGTGAGCCAATGCAGAGCCTCTGGCTGGACAGCAAAGGCACCTTGGCCGAGGGTCCTCCCTTTCTCTAATGCTTCATCTCTTGAGGGCCCACCCAACAGTATTTTATCAAAATAAACTATTATTCTCATCATCAAAATAAATAAACCTGACTGAGAAAGAATCCTCTTCATTTACTTAAACAGTGCCATCACTGGGGACTCTTTTATCTTTTTAAAATTATTTTCTTAACTTTTTATTATAAAGAACTCCAATATGTAGTTGGGCATTGTGGCAGGTACCTGTAGTCCCAGCTACTCGGGAGGCTAAGGCAAGAGAATCGCCTAAGCCCAGGAGTTGGAGGTTGCTGTGAGCTGTGATGCCACAGCACTCTACCGAGGGTGAGAAAGTAAGACTCTGTCTCAAAAAAAACCCAACATGAGCAGCAGCTGAGGAAATAATATAAGAGCTACCACCCAGGTGCATCAACCAACACTGCCTGGTCACTGATTTTCCAGGACATTTTCCTTTATCTTGTAACACCTGCTGACAAATAGCCACAAACGAAAAGTGCCTGATGCCACACCCAGCCCACAGCCCCGCCTACTCATGAGAACTGGCTGCAGCACCACGCCATACGTACGGGTTCCCCAGAAGGACCTCGGGTGCACAGTACTCAATTGTCCCGCAGAAAGTGTAGAACAGCTTGCCCCTCTCCAGGTAGGCAGCTGAACCAAAGTCTATGAGCTTAATGGTGAAGTCCTCAGCGATGACGATGTTCTCATCCTTGATGTCACGGTGAAGGATGTTCCTTGAGCGCAGGTACCCCACCGCTGACACCAGCTGCAATTGAGAGGCCAGAGGGGCTTTGAAAAATGTAATCCAGGCTCAGTGCCTGTGGCTCAAGCGGCTAAGGCGCCAGCCACATACACCTGAGCTGGCGGGTTCAAATCTAGCCCCAGACCACCAAACAATAATGACGGCTGTAATCAAAAAATAGCCGAGTGTTGCGGCAGGCGCCTGTAATCCCAGCTACTAGGGAGGCCAAGGCAGGAGAATCACTTGAGCCCAGGAGTTGGAGGTTGCTGTGAGCTGTGATGCCACAGCACTCTACCCAGGGCAACAGCTTGAGGCTCTGTCTCAAAAAAAAAAAAAAAAAAATGCAATCCAAGCAGGAGCAGTGGCTCATGCCTGTAATCCTAGCACTCTGGGAGGCTGAGGCGGGTGGATGGCCTGAGCTCACAGGTTCAAGACCAGCCTGAGCCAGAGCAAGACCCTGTCTCTAAAAATAGCTGGGCATTGTGGCGGGCACCTGTAGTCCCAGCTACTGGGAGACTGAGGCAAGAGAATCACTTGAGCCCAAGAGTTTGAGGTGCTGTGAGCTATGATGCCACAGTACTCTACTAAGGGTGACAAAGTAAGACTCTGTCTCAAAAAAAAAAAGGCAATCCAAGTAAAATATGCACTTAAAATAAATGTTAATAAGACAGAAAAATAAATATTCTCCAACTCTAATGAACTGGTGATGAGAAAGGAGGCCAAGCCTGGTATTGGGGAGTTATATACCCATATCTAGAAAGCCAGAAACTCCTGGAAATACTCATCAAAAGTCCAGAACTCAAAGTCAATCTACCATTATAGAGCTAATGCAAAGTTCATTAAACTACCTCTTTGTCTGTTAAAAACTATGGTTGCTATGTTATGGGTAACCATTAGATAAGGTACCAGCACTCAACAGAAGACCCAAGGTCAATTACTCACTTGGAACTTGGGGAAATAAAATGAGTCTTCTTCACTTTTTAAAACAGTAGTTTTTTTTTTTTTGAAAGACAAAGTCTCACTTTCTCACCCTCAGTAGAGTGCCATAGCATCATAGCTCTCAGCAACCTCAAACTCTTGGGCTCAAGTGACTCTCTTGTCTCTCCCAAGCAGCTGGGACTACAGGTGCCCACTACAACGTCCAGCTATTTTTAGAGACAAGGTCTCACTCTGGCTCAGGCTGGTCTCAAACTTGCAAGCTCAGGCAATCCACCCGCCTCAGCCTCCCAAGTGCTGGGATTACAGCTGTGAGCCACCGCACCCAGCCAATAGCAGCCATTTGTCTTTCTTAATTGGCACTGCTCTATCTGGCTAAACTTCCCGGAACCTAGAAACTAACTTGCTTCTGCTTCTCTAAACCTGTACCTGTTTTGATACCTTCAATGAGGAGCAATATGATAATTACTTTATCTACTTGTGAATCCAATGAAAGGACAGGGACAGGGCTAACCAGGGAGCTTGGCCATTTTTGGACTTTCGTCACCATGGCTCTGCTGGCTGAAATGAAGCCCCTTCCTCTTTTATGTCTGGTGTTTAGGTGATTCTTTCTCTCCACTGGACCTAGATTCCCGCTACAGTGACAGGGAAGAATTCTGGATGCTGAATACATGAGGCACAGTGAAGAGAGTGGGGTCAGCCCCAGAGGTGCACCCAGTGGCCAGCACACACCAGCCCAAGAGGCTGTGCAGCCACACAGACCCAGAAGTGGTTTATGTCAGTCACTGACTTGCCCATGACACACCCAGGCCCATCTCAGGAGGAAGACAGGCCACAAAGCAGAAGCTAAGAGACTCATGGTGGACAGGTGTTGTGGGAAGTGGGAACTGCCCAAGAGAGTGCTCTGAGCAGACACCCTCAGTCACATGGAGGGAAAGTGACTTGCCCAGAATTCAGGTGGCAATTTGGGGCAGAGCCCGGAGCAGAAACTCCAACTTTGGGGCTCACACAGCTCAAAGAGCAGCATGATGTGTCAGCTGCCCTTTCCCGACACATGCACCTTGATGTGGGCCAGCTGGAAATGGGCCTCATGTCCATGGTGGAGTGACTACAACATGCCCCTCTTGCTCCACATCTCCAGCAGGGTCGGTAAGATTAGCCTTTCAGTCAAGGTGGGGTAATAGTCATAAAACGTGCAACTGCATCATAATTTGGACACCTGCGGTACAAGCAACATAGTGACTTGATTGACATAGTTGATCATTTTGATCTCTAGGGACAATTTTATATCTACAAATGGATATCTTTGAATCAGAAGCTATAGTTAATAGACTAAGCCCAATGCCTTAACGTGTATTAATAAATGTATGCATATTTGTACAAGACATATGTATACCTGCTTTTTTATAGACACACATGCACACATATCCACACCTGCATACACAGGTGTGCAGATACACATGCCACATGTGAGCCTTCACATGTGCACATATAAATGCATATGCATGCATAGAAGACACATGTCCACTGGGCAGGATTCAGTCAGGAGACAGAAACCCCATGTCAACTGTAGTGTGAAAGTTTCACCAAGAGGCACTCCTTGCACTAGTGATCACAGGAGAGAAGCAGAGATGGCACAGTTGCTCTTCCTGCAGGGCCCTCCATGCCCTGCCTAACACAGCTGCCCATGAGCAACCTGGACGGCAGAGCAGGTGCCAGGCAGCAGATGCATCACAGAGCAGGTCCTGGTGACCATGGAGCTAGAGCTGAACGGACACACACTGACCACTGCATCTGAATACAACACAGACCCATGAGTCCATGCTTACACATGGTAACATTTGTGTACGTGCATTTGCCAAGGGCTACAGGCACTCTGTAAGCATCTAAGAGTAGAGAACACAATTATCTGCACCCCTGGCCCAGAATCAACCAAGGTTAGGCACAGCTGTCAAGGACTCCCAGCGTTACCTCATATAGAGACTCTGTTTGCCATAGAGATTTCAGAAAAAGTCTCTGCCACAAATGATACAAGTACATAATCTTCCAATGTAAGAAGAGGAAGAGAGTGACCTATTATTTAGCAGAAACTTATAAGTAGGCACCTGAGAAACTAAATTTCAGAAATCCAATAGCTTCTGAGAGGGCACAGCTCTGAGGAAGAAATGCTGATTTATGGAACTGTCATTAGAAATTGAGTCATCCGCTCGGCACCTGTGGCTCAAGCGGCTAAGGCGCCAGCCACATACACCTAAGGTGGTGGGTTCGAATCCCCAGCCCGGGCCCACCAAACAACAATAATGGCTGCAAACAAAAAATGGCCAGGCGTTGTGGCGGGCACCTGTGGTCCCAGCTACTTGGGAGGCTGAGGCAGGAGACTCGCTTGAGCCCAGGAGTTGGAGGTTGCTGTGAGCGTGATGCCATGGCACTCTACCCAGGGGGATAGCTTGAGGCTCCGTCTCAAAAAAAAAAAAAAAAAGAAATTGAGTCATCCCCAGGAAACAGTAAAAAAGCAAATCTGAGGGCGGCGCCTGTGGCTCAGTGGGTAGGGCGCCAGCCTCATATACTGAGGGTGGCGGGTTCAAACCCAGGCCCAGCCAAACTGCAACAAAAAAAGAAAGGCATTGTGGCGCCTGTAGTCCCAGCTACTTGGAAGGCCGAGGCAAGAGAATCACCTAAGCCCAGGAGTTGAAGGTTGCTATGAGCTATGTGATTCCACAGCACTCTACTGAGGGGGATAAAATGAGACTCTGCCTCTTAAAAAAAAAAAAAAAAGCAAATTTGAATTATTCACATAGTTCTTTCTGGCATTTTTTCATTCTTTCTGGGGAGCTGGGAGGAGTTTAGGAAGTAGTCAGCACTTTCTCCTTAAAACTCAAAGCAAGACCTATTGTTTCTTCCTTCCTCCCTCCCTCCCCCGGCCTCTCTCCCTTTCCTAGGGACCCTTCTTATCTTGCTCACACTCTCATTCCAATAAAATAATGGTCAAAGACCAACACATAACACAGTGAGACGATCAGCGTCTCCATCTCCGATCTCTGGAGTCATTATCCATACTGAAAACTTTGATAGCTGATGGCCCCTCTGCTGAGCACTCACAACTTGCATGCTGTGCTGTGCACCTGCCGGGGCCCTCTCTACTCAGTTCCATCAGCCTCATTATGCAGACGCTGTGATGACTCCCACGAGGCTTAAGCATAGCAGTGATTTCCCCCAAATCCCATGGCTGATGGCAGACAAGAATTCAAATCACATGCACAAGGCACAAAGCCCAGTGTGACAGCTTTGTGATCAGTGCTCATAAATAAATCTAGGTCCCTGCTCACTCTAGGACAATGTCTGGCCTCATCTTTCCCAACCTCACTTTATCTACTTCAACCAAAGAATTTTCTTCTCAAAATATGTATCTTACTTCATAAAATCCCCAACTAAAGGCCAGATGCAGCTGAATGAGAGAACCCAGCACATCACGGACCTTGGCTGCCCAGGTCCCCAACCCACACCCCCCAGCAAGGCTCTGGCTGCTCTCACTTGTCGGAAGATGTAGCTTGCCAGGGGCTCATCCAGCCTGGGGTGGCGATCGATGAAGGCGAAGAGGTCCAGGCCAGAGCCATGCTTCTCCATCACCAGCTGGAAGAACCCTTGGTTCTCAAATACATCCAAAACCTGAGAAGAGACAAAGCCAAGTCCAGCTCCGCCCAGATGCCTTCAGGCTGACACATGAGCAATGTCTGAGCATCATTAGATAGGAATGGTCATCTACCTTAATGATGTTGGCATGCTCCACTCTGGAAAGAATTGCAATCTCTAAAGTGACTTTCCCAAGTTTGGGGTCCTCAATCCAACAGTCCTCCAAAACCTTCTCCTTCTTAATAAACTTCACCACCACCTGAGGAAAGCAAGGGGAGACAGCTGGAACTAGTCCGCAAGCTTCCCAGTGAGCCAGGGGCCCATCATGATGTCAGGCAGCATGTGGGGCCTCTGCACTGGCCCCAAATCCCAGGGACATGAGGGAAAAAACATCATCATAAACCCTGCAGCACAATGACACAGAATGAGGTTTCTGATCAGTAGCTGGTGGCAAGTCTGCACAGTCCCTGCCCCTCCACAAAGCAGACTAAATTGTCGGGGATGAGAGTGGAGCTGGGAAGAGGCCAACAACCTCTCTCATCCCACCCTGACTTCTCATCCAAGGAATTCATGTCCTGGCCAAGAAATAAGAAGCTGAGAACTAAAACACATAAAGAAAACCCAGGCTCTGCGCCTGTAGCACAGTGGTTATGGTGCTGGCCACATGCACCAAGCCTGGTGGGTTCAAACACAGCCTGGGCCTGCTAAACAACAATCACAACTACAACAAAAAATAGTCGGGTGTTGTGGAAGGTGCCTGTAGTCCCAGCTACTTGGGAGGCTAAGGCAAGAGAATTGCTTAAGCCCAAAAGTTTGCAGTTTCTACGAGCTATGATGCCACAGTACTCTACCGAGGGTGACATAGTGAAAATCTGTCTCAAAACAAAAAAAGAAAAAAGAAAACCCACCATTCTTAGATACGCTTTCAACACAGATTCTGAGATTAATCAGAGTTCACAAGACTGATGGACATAGGTAAGTATGAGAAGAACACTATGACAACTATAAACGACACTCAATTACAAGATGTGACAAAGAAGACACTGCTCAAAACACAGGGGACACTACAAGTCACCAGAGCTGCCCTGCCCCCATCAGCACCTGCTGTGACGGGAGCATGCACCCAGGTGAAAAGCGGACGTGGCCCATGCCAAGCTGGGCCAGGGCACAAAAGCCCCCCTCACAGAGCTCCCACAGGGAGATAGGCAGTAACACAGCACTGCAGGCCATCAGGAGTGGGGAGTCTGGGAAGGAGACTATGGAGAAGGGAGGTGCCACAGGAGTGGGGCATGGCTAGGTGGCGCTATGGTGCTAGGGAGGGACCCCAGGAAAGTAACTTCTGGGGAAGGGGTCACGACCCCACAGGGAGGGCAGCTCCAGGTAGAGGGGCTGCAGCCCAGGTTCTGAGGTGGGAGCAGGGCTGCAGGAGGCACCGAGGGACAGCACTGGGACCAATGGGAAGAGTGGCAGGGCCTTTACCCAGTCACTGCACTGCAGTGACAAGGACAGAGAAGGTGGTGGCTTGGGTGCCAGCAGACGGAGATGGGAAGAGGCCAAATTCTGAAGACTCTTTGCCAGAGAATCCAGGATCGAATAGGCCAGGAGCAACACAAGAAGGACAGTAAGAGGCTTAGGGTGGGAGCAGCTGGGCCCAAAGAGGGGGGGGGCCATGGCTAGGAAAGGACTGCAGAGACTGCGATGAGAGGGAGGGACATGCAGGCAGCTCAAGCAGTTCAGCCTCAATCTATAAATGGAGACAAGCCACAGCTGCAGAGCCAAAGGAGCCCAGGCACACACAAAATGAGTTTCAGCAGAAAAGAATGAGGGAGAAAAACAAGAAAAAAGAACCAAATTCTCTTAAAGTAAAGGAAGCCCAAACTCTTAAAGGTGTTAGTCAAGAATAAAAAAAACATACACGTTAATCCTGGTAAAAATTTTTGAACTATAAAAATAAAAAAAAAAAAACTAGAAAGAAAAAAAATCACTCTAATAACACCAAAATTCATAGGAGAATAATGCTAGGTGACAACAGATACAGGTCTGAAAAATTCTGAGAGGGAAGACTCAGAAAACCACTAACCAGAGGGAAGACGAGGATCACCACTAACCAGAGGAAAGACTCAGATCACCACTAACCAGACGGAAGACAAAGATCACCACTAACCAGAAGGAAGACTCACATCACCACTAACCAGAGGGAAGACAAAGATCACCACTAACCAGAGGGAAAACGTGGAGCACCATTAACCAGAGGGAAGACTCAGATCACCACTAACCCAGATAACCACTAACCAGATGGAAGACAAAGATCACCACTAACCAGAGGGAAGACAAGGATCACCACTAACCAGAGGGAAGACAA